CTCGTGTACGACATTCCACAATCCGCAAACCTGCAGTATCATGCCCCAGCTACTAAACGTTCCCGGAACCCAATGAATGCTGCAACTCAACTCGACCCAACACAGCCAAACTTTGGCACCACTCAACCCAGCCCCGTCCTGTCCTCAGCCCAGCCTATGCTTTTTTCCCGTCCAGGCGCGTAAACTCAAATCAAATCCATCACAGCTGAAATCAAGAATGGCCCCAAAGCACCCCCCTCGCCCGTTCTCGAAACACCATCCGCTCAGCCAGCCTCTCCCTCTCCCGCTTAGTCCCCACACTACTCACGCTATCACTCGGCGCCACGCTCGCCGCGTACCTACTGCCCTTCCCGAACAGCCCACTCGCACCTTCATCGTCACTATTGCTGTTGCTATCGCCAAAGGCATCTCGGCCGAGTCCGCTGACCATACTCCGCGGCAGCGGAGCTGGGCGTGCCGTCGAAACGGAGCTGCGGCGCCCAGAGGCGGAAACGCGAGAGCCGTCTTTGTGGCTGTTGTCGTGGTGGTGGTGCTTGCTGCTGCGGCTGGAGGTCGAGACGCGAGACGCGGATGTAGCGGGAGGCGGCTGCGGGGCCGCAGGCAGAGTGTTGGCGTTCGAGGAGGCCTTGAAGGGCTTGATGGTGCTGGCCGTGTAGTGCGAGCGCGCGGACATGTACTCGCTCTCCTTCTCCTTGTCTTTCTCTTTCTCCTTCTCTGCCTCCCGCTCTTCACGCCTCCGTCCTCGCTCGGAACCAGTGCCTGATTTGGACCTGCGGCTTCGATGACTGCGGTGCGAGCGGTGGCTGACATGGCTTTTGGTATCGGCATCGGGGCTCTTCTCGCGGCGGCTCACGTGGCTCTTCGTATCGACATCCGCATCCGCATCCGCATCTGGATCAACATCGGCAGCAGGACTTCGGTCCCTACTAGGCGCGGGCAGGATAGCCAAAGGACGCTCATACGTCGTCTCCCTGTCTTTCTTGCTGCGGCTCGAGCGATGCGAGCTTGTGCTGACACAACTCCCCTCTTCGATATCCGCCAACTCCTGCACGCGAGAAAGGGCAGGAGGACCAGGAGGGGCAGCGATCGCGTACTGCACATAGCGCGGCCTGATGTCCGTTTCCTTGTCGCGCTCAGAAACGTGGCTGCGGGCTGGGATCGTCCCAGCCTCGACGACACACTCCCGATCCTCCATCACAATAGGCTCGTGCGTATACTGCGGCTCGCTCGCCCGCCTGCCCGTAGGTTTTGGGGGCGACTCAGATCTCGTCATGGCATAGGCAAAGGCGGCGCCGGCTGCTGCGCCGAGGAGAGTGCCTAGAACAGTCTTGGAGCTTATACCACCGGACTTCGGCTCAGGCGGAGCAAGAACTTCAAGCCCGCCAGCATTGGCGAAGTGCTCGGTAACGGTCTCCCGCACGACGATCCTCGTTGGGTGCTCGCACCCGAAGCCGGTCGGGCATGTCTCGGCTCTCCTAAACACGGGTGCCCCTGCCCGATGCGCTACCCCTCCACCGCCGACTTCGGAGCCGGAGATACTACGAGCAACGTCTTGCTGCCATTTCAGGACTCGCTTGCACTCTTTATTCAAGCCGGGTGTCATTCCAGCAGAGCGGACGAGCGCGCTAGAGCCATAAACGGCTTCAATGACGTTCCCGTCAAAATCCCTCGTCAGGGCCCGCTCTTCTATTCCATTCTGCTCAAATGTACTGTTACCCCTGGTAGCGCCGCGATAAAGCTGGCTCCTGCCGTGAAAGTCGAACACTGCTTTGGCGGTGGGAGCCGATAGGGTAATGTGTGAGAGGCGGGGGTGAGCGGACTGCGAGACGGTGAAGACGGTAATCTTTCTGGGCCCGGAAGAGGTCGAGAGGAGGTATCCAAAGTGTAGACAGGCAGGGATGGTGGAGGTTGCGGACAGAAATTGCAGGCCGAGAGGTTGAGTCAGGGCGCTGTAGAACGAGGCGGCTGAGGGGAGATGGGAGACGAGGATTAAGGGTGGGTGATCGACGGACGCCATGTTTCCAACCTGGTATCGTCCCTGCTGGGATATCCTGTCCGGTACTGAATCTCCTTGACTATTTAAAGTAAAGAGGGGGAGTGAGGACACGGAACGGACCGGCCGGCGGAAAGGGTTGCAGGAAGGATCGAAGTGGAGGTGGCAAAGGAGAATCAAATGAAGGTCTTGAAGCAGCAGAAGAATTAGAGATGCGCAGATCTTGAAAGAGAAGATGCAAGACAAGAAGCAGACAATATGCAAGTAGCAAGTAGCAAGTAGCAATGGACAAGTAGCAAGCATCAAGCATCAAACAGTGAGGAGGAAAAAGAGAGATTGTCTTATGTATCCCCGGGGGTGACAACACGAGGATTAGGCGAGCCAACCGCCCGCAGCTGCAGGCCATACTTCGTGCGTCGCATTGCAGCCCAGTGCAGTACCTATCTTGCCTTGTGTCGTGCCACCATCGGCCCTTGGGCCCATCTCTCGCAATACTGTAATACCTGTAGGACAACAGCCACTGCTTACCATTCCGTGCTGCAACTTCGTACGTGAACCTTCGAAGGCCACAACTAGAGGAATCCATGCCTCCCATTTGCCGCCTCGGAACGGCCTCGACAGACGGATGGCCAAGCGGCCACGCACACGCCAAATAGGATTTTTCCTGGAGCCGCTCTGTGGGGTTTCATGCAACCCGCGCCGGCCCATACGGCGATGCAAACGTGGCAAGCCGAGAGCATGGAGGATTCGAGACTGCCAAGGGGTTGAGACTCACGAATGAGAGGCCGCGGGCTTGCCCAACTGTGGGCTGGCGCAGGGCAATTTACTTCGGAACATACAACCGTAGGGAGCAAACGATCACTACGGTTACACGCGTGTACGGAGTAGGATGAATGATAGTTCGGATGGCTGTCCACGTAGGGATTTTCAAGGCGGCCGCAAAAGCACGTATTTGAAAGGTGGCTGGTGTGCCCAGACATGAGCAACATGGATTTGGATTATCCTCCTGACTTGGCTATGGACCGCTACGAAGCTAGCCCTGATAACGTCAGATCCTGCTGGGCAGCGATACGCAAGAATTGCCTCCATGGCCAAAATCCGCAGCGTCCAGCAGGCAAAATGCAGTGGGGTTCCCAGCAGCTACTTAGCTGCTGGGTTAACAGAAAGGAGATATAGACCAGGTTGAAGATGGTCTACGAAGACGACGAAGCGTCTTTGGATCTGATGTTGAACGCCCGATCTTTTGGTTGTAAAAAGAACGATCAGAGAACACAGACACTCCAAAGCCCGGCGACTAGGGTCACGACAACGATGTTAGGATCGTTGTGGTGCCGAAAGTCCCGCTTTCACCTTGTGGTATCGACCGATCTCCCTCACTGCCTCCACCCATTCGTCGAGCATTGACCGACAGCCCTCGTTATCCGTATCAAATAATTTTAAACCGGGGCGATCGCCTGTGCTGGGGGCGGGGGGTTGTACAGCGGCGAGGCTGACTAGATGATATCCCACACATCCTCAGCGGCGTGGCAAAACTTGCTGCAAGCTACACTAGCCGAGAGACTGTAATTGCTGATTGAGATCTTCTCGTCGACGTACTGGTCGGCGAAGTTGTCGGACCCCTTGGCCATGGCTCCAACGAATACACAGATGCTCTGGTTATCATCCAGCCTCTCCACGTATTCCCGCACCTTGACCAACTCCGAATCGAAGGAGAGGGTGACCTTGCGGCAATTCGGGGGAAGGTGGTCAGAGATTGGGTTTTGAATGACCTTGAGGAGTTTCTCTTGGGAGTTGACGGATCGGATGGAGAGACGGTGGAGCAGCTGGACCATGAGACCGGCGAATCGCTTGAAGGTACGTGGGATGCGGACGGTTGGGCTGACTTCGATGAGGACGCCTTTGGCAGTGTGGATGTAGATCTGAAGCTTGCCTGCCTTGTTGATGGGAGAGTCGAGGAGGGTGAGGAGGCACTGCGAACAGTCAGTTTGTTAATGGCCAATGTCATGTTGGATCACAGATGTCGGTGGATGTTTGGTGTCCGAACCTGATGGGTGATGTCAGGTCGGGCATCGCTGATGTCACGGTTCATCTTGCGCATGACGCCGATATGCTCATCACTGTTGAGCAACGAGTATTTCTCTTCGCGCTGGGCGCCCGGTCTGTTACCACCAAAGGTCGCCTTGTAGGTCTCGAGACTGGCATTAGAGAGGACGACGATCAGTCTGCGGGTTTCCTTGTCGGTGGAGGGGATTGGGACGTGCTGCTCTGCGACGAGCTGTGGGAGGGCGGGCGGAGGGAGCGACTGGGTTCCTGCCATTGCGACGATGATCAGTTGGGGATTATGCGGGTGGGGGATTATGTTGAATAATCGTAGTAGTGATATTGTGCGTCGCCGTGGCGAGACTTGAACTCTGTCTCGGGGGGGAGGTCGGTATTGGGGGATGGGGAGGGGGCGGTGAAGAATAAATATAAATGTAGTGTACAAGTCAGGTTGAACTGATGCTGGATTTCTGGTGTTGCGACAATTTCGAATCTCGACTCTCGCCTCGGCGCTACAAATTTGTAGCCCGTCGGCAATGCAGGCTGGCGGGGCAGGGAAGGGAAGGGCTGGGGAATAAACGATGGGACAGGCAGGATTCGATTCTCTGCTTACTTACTTGGACGCTTCACGGATCGTGCCTCTTCGGAAAATCTCCTCTCGCCCTCGCTGATGGCGGTAACGAGGACCATATTGCGTGCTTGGTTGAGATGGGGAGGGAGGTACGAGTAGGTTGAGCTTCGTCGGACCTAGTGTTGGCGCAGAGACAGATGCCGATGCTGATGCCGGTGTTTTGATGGCGACAGCGATGCAGGTGCAGTTGTATAAGCGGGTGGGATTCCTGTATGACTGCGATCGAACTGGCAATTATCTATGGAAATGTATGGGGATGGATGGAGATGTGTGGAGATGTATGGACATGCGGGGATTGGGATTGGGATTGGGATTGGAGAGAAGTAAAATGGATTCGACGAAGCTAACTGGCGGGGCACTGAGTAAAGTCACGTGAACCACAGCTGTATTAGGTAGGGAAAGGCCTTGCAAGTCATGGGATCGCCGAGGCAAGGAAATATACTACGTAGGTAAGCAAGCTTGATTTTGCAAAATAAAGGAATCCATCGGAAGAAAATTTCAAATCTTGACTTTTCTTTTGAAAAAAATACAATCAGCAAGTCTCGCCGAATACGAGCTCCCCACGGGCCGGCCTCACTTCTCTTCCACGGCATCACGCTGGTCCAACCATACCTCTCGTGTGGTCTGATATGATTCAATATTTCTCACCTCTGGCCTTGTGTGACCTGGCCATGATACTCGGAGCTGTCAGAAAACTTGGTTTTGGTTGAAAGATCCTCATCACGTTTGACCACCAGTAATTATTCTTGACGGCCCACGTTTCCGCTGAGCTCCTCGAAGCGCTTCCTGGCCCTTCACCACCCTGCCGCCGGCCATGATGGGATCACTTCTTCCACAGAATGACAAGGCGTCTGCCGTCTTCTGAGATCGGATTCAGACAGCAAGTCTCCTTGCTCAGCTACCTACCTCATGCGCCCCTGATCTAATCTCGCTCGGACACTTTCATAGATCTTCAGATGGCAGCTCGCTTCGCCGCTTCGCGCACTGCGACAGCTCCATGGCCAGCTCACTCACTGACAGTTTCAGCCTCCAATGCGCGACGGCGGGATCTCTAATGCCAGTGTGCGCCGCTCATCCTCTCATAGCCTGGCCTATTGATTGGCAGATGCCCAAATAGGTAAGTACCTAGCTCGTAATGCCAAGAACGTATATCAAAGATCGGTCCCCACGCTTCTCGCGCTCCTCCATACCCTCTCTCAAGTGCTGTTCGTGGAATTCTCTCTTTCAAGCTTCGTAAGATTCCCTCCTCGTCTTGCTAGTCAAGCAGGTCACGTTGATCGTGCATCTTATCTCACACCTCGACGGATCATACTCGCTCTTTTGAGACATATATCTTTTAGCACTCCGTCTACCATATTTGTTGCCGCCTTTGTATCTGCACATGCGTTTTATGCAACTTCTCGGCGCTGCGGCGCTCACAGCTATTGTCTCGGTCCAGGCATATGCTCAGAACAATAATCGGTTCGGCCAGAGTCGTCAAAAGGGCCAGAATGGTCAGATTGATCAGAATGGTCAGAATGGTCAGAATGGTCAGAATGGTCAGAATGGTCAGAATGGTCAGAATGGTCAGAATGGTCAGAATGGTCAGAATGGTCAGAATGGTCAGAATAGTCAGAATGGTCAGAATGATCAGAATGATCAGAATGATCAGAATCAGAATGGTGGAGCCGGAGGAGCTACAGGAACCGATTCTGAAGACGCCACCGGACTCACACTTTTGGCCAACGCGATTCAGACTGGATCCGCTGCAGACGGAAGTGTCAACGGAGCTCAAGAAGCCGGTCAATCGGCATCCAAGACCTCCACCAATAATTTTATCAACATTTGCTCAGGCAAGACTTTGACCAATGGACTTCAGGTCCAAGGTGGATCGTGTAACGGAATCCGTAAGTACTGTCTACCTTGTTACGAGTGGTAACATACTGACGATACCAGCCATGGGAGATATCCCCGCGAAAGCAGCCATGATTTCCTCGGCTATCCAGTTCCCTCAGACGAACGGCGACCCCATAGCCCCCAACACCGACTTCGATATCACCGTCCAAGTATCCAACCTCGTCGCCGGGTCCTTTACCAACGCCGACACAACCTACTACGCTGGCCCTCAGTTCCTGCAAAGCGGCAAAGTCGTGGGTCACACCCACGTCACAGTCCAAGATATGGGCAACACCCTAAATCCCAAAACAGCGCTCGATGCCACCCAATTCGCGTTCTTCAAGGGTATCAATGACGATGGCAATGGAAATGGGCTGTTGAAGGCGACTGTCACGGGGGGTTTGCCAGCAGGGAACTATAGGGTGTGCACGATGACTTCGGCGAGTAACCATCAGCCGGTTTTGATGCCTGTTGCACAGAGGGGAACGTCAGACGATTGTACCAAGTTTGTTGTTGCTGCTGATGGGGGGGACGCGAATGATAATGCGGGTGGTAATGCTAGCCTGGGGGCTGATGATGGAAATACACAAGCCGGAGGAGCGAATGGCAGAGCAAATGGAAGAAGGAAGGGAGGCGAAAACCGCAGGTCGCACTCTCGTAGACACTTTGTCGTCTGATCAGCGCCCAATTCAATGAAGCAATAGCCAAAAGAAAAAAAAAAGAAAAAAAAAAAGGGGGGGGAAGGAATGGAATGAAGATAGCAGCGTTATCGTGGACAGTGTGGAAATAGTAGAACTTAGGCACATCAGAGGGTTTATTCCCAATATTCACATCAATTAGAGGGGTGAGTGGAAAAGTACTAACGGAACATGTCATTACAGCAACGGACCACGTGCGAAAATTCGGTGCAAATTGTCACCACCTTCCCCACAAGATCGGGTGGAATCCGTAGGCCCGGATTCGGGGTTTTGTTGTTGGGTCAAGATACTAGCGCATTTACCCCTGAATGCCGGATTCCCTCTTTACTTACTAGCGAGAGGCTTAGTGCGAGGCTGAGACATTGACGAGAGGTAAATCCGACTACGACGTCACTTCGAGGCAACAAACTCTCTGTCTACCTACTTAAATCGCATTGCTCCGAAGGCGCGCAATAAGATGCTGGTGAGGAGATAGACATCGAGACCATGCTATCACAATGTAAGTTGCCTCCCACCTGTCCTCTCAGAGATAGATACAGGTCATCCCTCGTTCTCATGATATAGCGATCAGCTTCCCCACCACAAGGCTGCTCTAACAATCCCTAGGATCGATCCCTCCGTCCGCCTCCGCCGTGCAATCTACTCCTCCGACACTCTCCTCGTCTCCCGAATCCTAACCCACACGCCCTCCCTCCTCCAAAACCCCGACACCTCCCCAACCGGCCTCGGCAACACAAACCTCCACCTGGCCTCCTCCCTGGGTCACACCTCCATCGTCTCCCACCTGCTCTCCCTCTACCGCCCCGCGTCTTCACCACCCACCACCAACCCGCACGACCCGCCCGCCCTCTCCTCCCTCCCGCTCAACGAAGAATACCAAACACCTCTGCACCTCGCCTCCGCCAACGGCCACACGGATATCGTGCACCTCCTCTGTTCCGCGTGTCCGAGATGCATCGGACGCGGCGACGTCCGTGGCCGCGACGCCCTGATGCTGGCCAGCAAAGCCGGCCACGACACCGTCGTGCAGATCCTACTCACGTTCGCGCCTTCTGGTCCCGAGGCTCTGCTCGAGGGGGCCGACGTGGACGGCAACACGGCTCTGCACTTCGCGAGCTCGAATGGGCACCTGCTGGTGCTGCGAACGCTGCTTGCTGCGGGCGCGGACCCGGAGAAGAGGAATGTGTGGAGCTGGACGCCGGTGGCTTACAGTGCTACCGTGCAGGCGGAGGTGTATTTCAAGGGACTGGTGGGGGAGGTGGAGAGGAGGAGGCAGGCCGGGAGGCAGGCTAGGGAGAAGGGGACCGGTGGTGGGGTGAGGGTTGTTAGTAGTGTGGGGGAGGGGGAGGAGGTGTGATTGTCTGATTGAGGTGTTGAGGAGGGAGGATACGAACGATCCGTGGGGATATGAGATGTGCATATGAGAGAAGTTGCATGCTTGATGAGAGCTACCTATACGGTGAACGAGACGTGGAGAAATGATCTTGCAGTCAGGTATGGGATGGTGTCTGGAGTTTTGCAAAGCCGGATCTGATGATTGGTATAGGGGTAGATAGATCCACGGCAATGATACGATGTCACTCTGTGCAAATCTTTCTGCTATACCCCACTACCTGTGTGCGGAGCTCTCACTCTCGCTTCTCAATTCCCTCCCCACACCGTTAATCCCTTCGATATACATATTCCCAAGCTGTAATGCTATCTGCTAGTAAGTCCAAGTCCTCCCTGGGTAGAGTATCCCCTCGCAAGTAAAAGCGGGGGGGTACGTGGGGTTGTAGTTGAGATCAGGTTTAGTCTTAGGCTTGGTCTTGGTCTTGGTCTTGGTTATGGTCTTAGGCTTACTTAAGCTTACCTAGGCTTAGGCTTAGGCCAGTCTTAGGCTTACTTAGGCTTACTTAGGCCAGGCTTACTTAGTCTTAGTCTTGTAGTTAGGCTTAGAGCCTGCCACCTGCCAGATCCACCAAGCGAGATCTCTCGAGGTCCACCTCTCTCTCCTCACGTACAGGGTGTACACAACAGATAACAGATCGATAGTGATGAATAATGCACAGAACGAAATCTGAGATTGAATCTGTGAGGGGTAGGTTTGGGTTCGGGTTCTTGTTGGATGTGTGTGTGTGTTGGTGGCTGGTGTTGGTGAGGTGAGATGGGATGGGATGGGATAGGATGGGATGAGGTGAGGGTTTCTAATGCTTGCTGGCTTACTTACTTACTTACTTGTTTGCTGGCTTTTCGTCACTGTTTTGCGAGATTGCGATGGGGATGAGTGCGATGTTTGATTATTTTAGGGGGAGGGGGGGCGGGGGATGAAGAGTGTGGATATTTTGTTTGGTGTGGATGTTAGAGTGGTGATTGGGTTGTTATGTTATTATTAGCCAAGGGAGGGGGGTAAATTTTTTTCTAATTTTTTTTTTTATAGATTGGTGAATGAGCGAGCAAGTCGCAAAGACGCCAGAGAATGGTAGATGTTATATAATTCCAAGCATAAACAGCTAACTACCTGCACGCCACGAGATCCCGCGGAGATGGTAAACAGAATGGATCCACTGGACGAGATCAGCAGCCCGCGCGACGAGACAAACACACCAGACAAAACTTCTCGCGAGCCGTATCCCAACCTACAATAGCGAGAAGGAGAAAGAAACCCCTCCCTCCCCCCACCCCCCTCCCCCCCGCCTGCCCGTCCCTACGCCTCCATCCACGTGGTCATCATAAAGTAGTCCCGGTCCCTCATCGGTCCGTCCTCCTCCGTCGGCTGGATGTCCTCGGCCTCGATCCTCGCCCGGCAGGCCTCCTCGCTGCCCATGCAGCGCCAGCGCGTGATCGAGACCAGGATCGTCCGCCGTGGGGACAGGTGCGCCTGCGGCGTCGCGCACTGGCAGTACTCCCGCCAGGGGATCGACGTGTGGCCCGCGAGGCAGGTCGAGACCGTGAAGTGGTTGTTGCGGTGGTAGCACGGGCCTGGCAGGGCCACGGGGAACTGGCGGGCGTAGAAGCTGAAGCCGTGGACGCGGCTGAGGATCGCTGCGTAGCAGCGGTCGCCGAGTTCTATCCTAGTGAGGGGGCGCTGCTGAGGCGGCATTGGGTTGGGTTGGGTTGGGTTGGGTGGTCCTTTTTTTTCTTTTCTTTCTTTTTTCTTTTTTTCTTTTCGAGAAAGGGTGCTGTGAGCTGAGGAGATGGCTATGCGTTGGGTATATGTGTGTAACTTGGAGAGGTTTTTTGTGAAAGTGCATAAAGAGAGGGAGGCAGCGGCGTCTTATAGATAGAGAAAGACTGGACTTCTAGGCACAAGATTCTTCAGACTTTCTCTCCGGGTGGTTTCTCCATGTTATTGGTATAGGACTGTGATTCAAAGCTTTCGTTCGTTGGAAAAGTGACTTGAAAGATGGATTTCAAGTCATAACCGACTTGCCGTCCGCCTTGCGTCTTTGTGCTTGTATGTTAGCTATCGCGCTATGGAAAGGCCGTTGGGTATGCGGCTTAAGAGAGATATGTAGATGAATGAGGTAGCAAGGAGGGATGGTTGTATTCTTTAGAAGCTCTCTGCAAAGAGAGGTAATATAGACCTCTCAGATAGTGGCCCGTGCGCCTAGCTCCCTTCCACGACAGAAAGGGAACAACAAACATACTGCATGGTTAGGTGACGCGAGACTGAGGTTTGAATGTTACATGGTATGGATCACTCCGTCGTTGCGACCCTTGTAGCGAGGAGAGATTTCGTGCGGGAGCAACCAGCTGATTCAAAAAAGGGGGAGGATCCCTCGGCAGGGCTCTAAGCGAGATCGACGTACTCCTCCACGACTCAATTCGACTTTCAAGAAAATAGTAGTATCACGGCAGGAGATAAATTCGAAAAAAAACTTGATAATCCTCATACATACAGCTCAGAGAAAAACTCAATCGGAATGGCAATTTAATAAACACCTCTTCACGTCTTTCCTGCACAATTCCCCCCTCCAACGGCAGATCTATCTATCCATCCACCCATCCATCCATAAACAACATAAACATAAACATAAACATAAATATAAACCCAAACACAATCACACATAGAGCCCTAGATTTCTATAGCTAGCTAATCCAAGCAAAGCTAAGCTAAGGTAGGTAGGTATCAATTTACAAAAAAAAATCCCCCCAAAAAATCCCCCAAAAAAACCAGAAAAAAAAACCAAGAAAAAAAAACCAAGAATAAAAAACAAGAAAATAAAAACCAGACAAACCCCCCCCCCCAAGAGCCCCAAAACCCCTCCCATCCCCTACTTCATTCATCATGCCTCTTCGTCTTTCTTCGCGCCAACAGACTAATAATAGTGATGCCGACGCGGAACGAAGCTTCCGGGCTTACAAAAGAGAATGACAATGAGATCCGAGAATGAACGCAGTGCAATGTCGAAGCCGAAGCGAAGCCGAAGCGAGGCAGCACCAAAAGTACGAGGAAATATGATTGTAACGTGCTGTCATCGCATCTCTTGAAACCGCTCAAAAAGCATCCAACAAAGAAAAACGCTCAAAACTCCAAATAAATCCAGAATGTGCCAATCATCACCAGCCCAGCCCAGCCCAGCCCATCATGCAAGATCAAATTAGGCTCCGGTCCCTGGCTTCTTGCTCCCATCGTAGAGTCGTAAATTTCGTAGCGTGCTGATAAATAGCGGGTATCTCTGAAGAATGTGTATATACAGGACACAAAGTTACTCATATCCTCTTTCTCCCTTCCCAGCCAAGGCCCAAAATTTTCCATGGAAGATTCTAACAAGCCATCGTTGGGCTCATCTCCCGCTTAGCGTCTCCTTCAGCCGTAGCAACTGCCGCCAACGCCTCGAGTCCGGCCATGTCTCGCGATTTTGGTACATGTTCACGGTGTTGCTCAGCCGGATTCTCGTAGGGGCGTGGTCCGTAAGTGTAGGCCCCCTCAGCACCTTGGGAATGGTAAGTGGGATATCCGTTACTCGGCCCGGTGGGTGTGTGTTGCTGTCTGCCGTTCCGGCTCTCTACCCAACCGTTTGAGTGGACGATGCTTGGGTTATGCTCGCCCATGCTGCTTGGCGTTCCGGGAACTCCACCCTCAGATCCACTTGACTCGGTGGGTGAGGTCCTTTGGATTGGCCGGGTTGGTGGCATGGACGTAGGAGGCCCATCATACCATCCCTTGCGCTTAGCCGCCGTCGAAGTGACCGGTTGGACAGGGGCACTAACATAGTGCCGTGGATATTCACCACCTGTCCGTGGTGTCGCATAGTATTGCCCCTCAAAATGAGCCGACGGCTGATAGCTGCTCTGCTCACGAGCCGATTGCACGGCCCTGTTAGTCTCGGCTGCCCATTGCGTAGCTGCATCCGCTGGAGATCCTTGCGCAAAATCCAGCCTATCCAAGTGGCGGTTGTTCGTCCCTTGGTCCCAAAATTGGCCTACTTTCCTCTCCTGTGAATACTCTTGACGCACAGGAGCACGAATGGGAAGTTCAAACATCCTGGGGCTTGGCTGGCGATGATCCGGGCTACCGGGTCTCCGCATCGAAACCAAGCTTGCAATTCCAGGTAGTCGCATCGGTTGTGATGGAACGGTGGGAGCTTGAGGCAATGGCCCATGGCCAGTTGCGTAGTGGGTACTCGCACTCGTGACACTTTGCAAGCGGCTGGTATTGATTTCCAGTTGAGGTAATGGCCTTTGACCAGTTGCGTTTTGGGGGGTGCTTGGATTCATAAGATTCTGCAAGCGGCTGGTGTAGTTCTCTACCGCAGGCCGTGAGTCCGGATGCCATGTTCGGCGCCTTGGTTCGGCGTCCATAGGGTGGGTCATTGATTCCCGTCTGGACCCTCCGCTCGTCGCAGCAGAAGGGCTTGAGATCATGCCACCAGCCGGAGTGGAGGGGCTGTTCAGCCCGTACGAACCGCCCAGGGGAGATTGAAATGGGTTGCCACCGTATGAGAGAGGCCGAGGATGGATGGCAGCTGGTGATCGCATACCTTGGCTCCAGCGAGGACTGTTTTGACCGGTCGAGAAAGTCGCGGAGGTCGCGGAAGTCGGAGTGCCGAGGCCGGAGGATGACGGCCGGGCGTAGGGGTTGTAACGACTGTACTCACCCGACGGGCTGTCGGGTTGGTACTCTTGCGAGTATCGATTCTGGTCTCCCGGCACTACCAAAGGTGCTGGGTGTCTCCTCGGGTATGGCTCACGACTCCAGCCGCTCGACCCCATATTCGGAATGCTTGACATGGACAGAGCATTCCTTTTATGCCCTGGGACCGAGCCAGGTTGTCGGCTAGGTTGATTAAGAGTAGCCGATGCCCGCGGCCTTCCTTGAGAAGGTCTGACTCTATCTGTCCGATCCGGTTTCGGTCCGCGGGATCCAGCAGCCGTCATAAAATCGGGGGGGATGTATTCATTCTTGTGGACGGTTTGGAGATGTTGTCGAAGGTTGTCATATCGAGTGAACCTGTGCGAGCAGAAACAAATGAACGGACGTTCCCCAGTATGTTTTCTGTCAAGTGAAGTCAGCACATGCCTGTCAGCGCTCGGGCACCGGGGGGGGCGGGGGGGGGGGGGGTGGGGGGGGGGTAGTTAGGG